CATACTATTCCCTTCCCCCCTTTCCCGAGTTTTGAACTCACTGGAAAATCTGTTCCATAATACGGTGGGTAAATGAATTACAGTCACAGATGGCCTCTGGAGATTTCATACATGCTGCAATTCATTTGTTCAGGAATGAAAAAAAAAAAAGACCTTTGTCTTGTGAGGGTATTATCAGAGACAGCAGATCAGACACTGTAATGGTGCCTTGCACTCTGGATTCGACCCATTTCCTAAGCTTTTATGACTCGGCATTTACTATTCCTGGATTTGAAATTTTTTTAAGTGGAACGTCAAAATCCACAATGAAAATGATTGAATGCAAGGAACTGTGGCAGTTACCATTTATTTTTACAATCCTGAGTGAAACTATTGTGTGCTGTTGTGCAGAGATGCTCAAGAATGGCCATCTTCCACTCCTCCAATAGCATTTCAACTGTAATTAGCAAAAATAACTTAATTCACAGATGGCTGTTGAGAATTAGTTAAACCTTGCAGTGGGCCTTGAGATCCTTGGGAGGAAAATGCTAGAAAAATAAGAAACATACTAAAGAAAGTAGTATATAATTTTACTGCTTGGGTGTCTTGTTCAGCATAAATCATCAAGCCTATTTGCAGGCAAATGTAGGGTCAGTCCCTGAGACTCACTTTTGCCTCTGAATTCAGACCAGCAGTTAGGAGAGGAAGGGATGGGATGATTGATGCATCAGCCAACGGGGGAAAATTCATCCAGCAGTAACAACAGATTCATCTCGAGTGAATTGGATAAACTCGTTTCTGTTTGTGCAATGATATAAAAAAACTATTACATGGTCAAACGTAGTATGGTGATTTAAATATCCACACTGTCACCCTGTTGCATGGCCAAGCTGCAACAGGCTGAGTGAATACATATTTTATGAGTGAATATATATTTTCTCAATATTTAGCCCTTTCTGAGTGACATCTCATACCTTTCATCCCACCTTGTCATTAGGCCTCACAACTAACACAGCCCAGCGGGTGCCCTAATGAAGATACTTGTCCAAACATCATGTAAACCAGCTGATGTGGCTACTGGAGCAGAGCAGTATCAGCTGAGGGGCCCTGCTCTGTGCCAGTGCTTGCTTTGGGTTGGAAGCAAACCGCCCCAAACCTTTTGCTGGCATTTCCACAGGTGGGCACCTCAGGAGACGCTGCTCATCCCAAGGAGGGTAGTGACCACCCTGCGACCTCTGCCCCACGGATGGCGGTCCCTGTGTGGAGGTGGGTCACCCACCTTACACTGGGGCTGAGGCAGCACCGGCTGCTGGAGATGCTGAGTGCCGGCGGGAATGCCTTTGCTTATCCACCTCAGCAAGAATTCAGGGAACCAGGAGGTTAAAATGCCAGCTGGATGCTCCCAGGGCTGCCGTTCCCTTCCCTGTAAAGCAGCAGTGATTAAACAGGCTCGCTGCTCTGCGGTTTAATGGATGGCTCTTGCTGCAGTGCTTGGGGACCCTCTGACAGGGCGCTGTGAAAGGGCAAAGGGGTACTAATAGCTGCTATGTTTTCCAGCAGCCCCAGCCAGAGATAGTTCTGCATATAGCTGACAAGCAGTCAACGTCTGCTCCCTGTCTCTGTTTGCACTTCATCGAGTTATCTCCTTGCAAGTAAAGAAATCCCAACTGATTGAGCAGCACATTCATCATCTGGATTTGCCCCGTATCTTTTCCTCTATCAGTGGTGCCATATAAAGCCCACCAGAAAAGTTGACGGCAATCTGCTCTATCTTCCATTAAAAGCTTTTGCAGAGCCATGTTAAGATCTGAAGAAAAAAAAAATCAAAACAAACCCCAAACTTTTTTTCCTCACTGAAACGTCAATCAAGAAACATTAAACAAAAAGATTAGTTCTGCTCTTATTTGTTTGTAAAACAAAAAGCATGAAATATTTAGCAGTATTGTAATGCAAACCAGATGGGAATAATGCTGGCTTTCAAGGCTGCTGCTAACCACCTCTCTTTCATGCTGCTGCAGCAGCGGGACAAGGCAGGCAGCCCATTAGGACAATTTATGAACTGGACTTCCACAGAGGGAGTTCTAGCAAGAGGTCCACAGCTCATACAGAGCAACCCTGATAACATCTGTTAGGGTTATTCATTGAAGAGGATTATATTACAATCCCTCTTAATACCCGAGTGCTACGGTAAAACCGGATGAGCCTTCAGTTTCATTTGCTCCAGCAATATGTGTTTATCAGAGCGTTTTCTGCAGTTGGAAACCAAGGCTGCATTCATAGTATGTCACAGAATGAAATTTAAAAAGCTTGAAATATTAACCTAGAAAAAAACTCAGTCCCTGCTTTTAATCTCTCATGGCCATACCGCTCAGCTTCTATGTGCAGCGTCAACACACCATCAGCCTTTTTCCATAGAAAGCCACTCCCCATTAACTCTCCAGGACTGAGATTGATTTTATTTAAATGGTTCTCACTCGCTAACCTTGCTCCATTCTTTATTTAAGACTTTGCTAATGATGTTTTTTTTCCCCCCTTAATTTACCTAAGCATATAATGAACACTTACATCCGAAATGACCTCATTATACCGGCAAGGACTTTTGTGCGGTTACGATTTAGTGCACAGGCATAAGGTGGAGAACTCTCTAAATTGAGAGGCTTTAAGCATTCCATAAAATCCCTGTTGACTATGAGCCAGATTCTTACTGCTGTAAATTGACTTAGTTCCAACAGCTTCAATGAAGCTACACTGATTTACTCCACTTGAGGGTCTTACCCTATTATTTGTATTTATTGAACTTGCCACCTTTTGCTGCTACAACCCAAAACAGATACTTCCATCCTCTAGCAGCAGGGTTGCTATCTAAAACAGGTGTTTCTCCAGTAATATATGACTTAAGAGATTTGTAACTGCCTGCAATATTTCACTGTCCTCTAAAAGTGTTTATAATAATTCTTGTTGACTGTCTCAACAACCACCGATCAGCTGTAGAGCTGTTTGCAGCCTGAACCTGGTCAACAAAATATTCATTCACTGTACAAGCATGAGCTGTTTTATCCATTCTTAGGCACTTTTACCTCCTCCTCGGTGGATGACAGACTTTCCTGGTCTACATATAGTGTCTGGGACAAAATCAAGTCCCAAGTGTCTTTGCTAGTTCCAGAAGAACAGGCCTGATATACACAAAGAAGCCTACTTTCTGGCTCCACAAAAAATAAACTGCCAGATGAAAAAAATGCATTGCAAATGACAAAAAACCCCAAAGTAAAACCAGAAATTTCTTTTGTGCACTGATTGTAGCCCTTAGGGGAATGTAACTGTCCCACCATGATAAGTCTGCCGTTCCTAAGCCCTGGACTCGTTTTACCCCATTCTCTTCTGGGAAGGATTCAAGCGGCTGCTTTGATCTTGACCCAGCTATGATCAGCAGAAGTGGCTGCATTTGTATTTTTGGGGACTTAGCAGGAGACAGCTCATAGGAAGGCACAGGACCACATGGTCCAAATATCTGAGAGAGGTCAAAGACCTGGATAAAGCTCAGTGTGTTCATAAAAGCAACAGGGAACCTAGCCCACAGGTTCACCAAAAAAATCATACTAGTTTTCCACTCCTCCAAAAGTAACTGCCTGTGGAGCCCTTTGATGTCAGAGATCCTGGCAGACTCTATCTCATAAAGATTCAGGAAAGAAACCAGCAATTACCTGGACACTAATGAGAGTTGTGAATCCACAAATACTTGCTGCAGTGATTACCCTGCAGAGAAATCAGCAGTGGTTAAAGCAATACACTGCTCACTCCCTACATGTGATTGGCGTTAACTTCTAATCTGAGGTCCTAAAAAAATTCCTCTTTGTCTTAGCAGGTTTGGAATTGAGGGGAACCCCACAGAGAGAGTGTCAGAGGCCAATGTTGTAAGAAATCATACTGAATCATAATATGATTTAACAAACACACATTTTCTTTGGGTCCAGTAGAATTCTATTCAAACAACTCTCCAGTGTTACAGGAAAGCTGACATTTTCTATTGAATCTTACAGGGCTAGACTGAAATAGGTACATGCAGCACAAACTTCTTCCAGTAGTACATGAGCAAAGAGGCAGGGGCAGGCAGCAGCAAATTTTATCCTTGCTTCATTTGTTCTTGGTGTTTCTAGGTCAGCCCAAATACTCTGATGGTAAGAGATAAGCATAGCAAAAATGTGAAACCACCCCCAGAATAACTTAAAAGTCCTTAAAAAGAAATACACATGTATTTATTTACTGCATTATAACTGCAACATCAAATACAACTATATTTTCATTACAAAAAAAGAACACATGCAATAAAATAGTCCGATTTTATAATCTGATTCAACATAGTTCATTGCTAACAGTGGAGCATCACAAAACAGTCATGAGGCTAGGGCTTGGGGTGACACATTTCCAGTCTCTTTATCCTACCTGCAAACAGCAAAGCTGCATCATTTTTTATTTGTCATCGAGAGATAATTTTCTGGAATAATGTGGCCTGATCATACAAGGTTCCAGCTGCCCCTTAACTCCTCAATGAGCCTTGCAGAATGAGATTTTTTTTTTTTTACTTGATAAAATGTTATGCTCCTGACAAGGATGAGGAATAGACAGTATTTTCCAGGCAGAGAGCAGAAATCCTTCCACATTACACCACGGCCAAGGTACAAAGAAAGGACCTCTGTTTCATAGGTGGACAGAAGCTAAGGTTAACTGTCAGTTACTTTAATTATTGTTATGAAGAATGAAATCAGGCCATTTTCTGCAATATTTCACTGCAGCTTTCTATCATGTTCACTGTGCACGGGGCTTCAATTGAGTTAATCTGGCATTTCAGCTATGAAATAAATCCAGAATACACAGGAGGGATCTACAGCACAGAAAAGAACACAAAAAGTTGTCTTGAAATACTCAAAATATAGCCTCTTAGCTAGTTAAAAGGCCCTGTTCTTCATTAGAAAAGGGTCTTATTCTATCACTACTATTCACAAATCATAGCCTCTTATTTTTAATAATATTTCCTGTGAAATTTCATAGGAGTACTTGTGAAATAAGGTCCTAAACAGTGTGAATAATCTATAGAATCAGTCCCTGAAATGACACCATTTCTAGGGTGAATTCTCCTGACTCAGTCAAGACTTTTTAGGAAGTGTCATACAACATTGTCCAGCCTTTCAAAACAATAACTTGATCTCTTTTCATGCATCTTGCGTGGCATAACGCTAAGGATGACTTAGCTCTAGCAATTTAAAATAAAAAATAAAGTCAGTCTTTTTATGCAGCTGCATTTTTACACAATTTCATAGAGTCAGAATACAGAAGCTTACAGCTTTTTGAGATAATTCTAGCAAATAGAAGCATATATATGAAAACAGAGTTTCAAAACTACATGGAAATCTGTAGAATAAAATATATATGAATATATCATTTTCCAACACAAGCAATTGGCAGTTTAGAAAAATATGATTGTTACAGTCTTTCTGAATCAATAATTGTAACAAGAAAGGATTTAAAAAATAAGTTCAGCTTTTCAAAAAAGCCTATCTTTAATAAGAAAATAGACTGGTCCGCATTTCCCTGAATAAGCCAGAAAGTTAAGGAAAAATCCAAGCAAGACAAGAAGTCTGACTTGGACTTGATATCAGCTGTGATAACATGCACATGTACAGAGACAGCTGCTTGGCTCCAGTATTGTTTACCTTAGAAATGAGCCTAATTTATCACAAATGTATTTAAAAGTCATAAATAACATGACAAAAGTGGAACTGGTCCCTGCAAGGCAAATAATTATATTCATACAAGCAAAAAGTGACATCAATCCAGTTATTTTCTTGTGACAGTTAAAAGGTATTTTGTACCCAATTGTTACATTGAACAGCACATGTATAAACACAGATTATTATTACAGACTCTGCTATCAGCTACTATACATAAACAAGAAGAGATGTTCATGCTGTAATTGCATCTAACGTTTTTGCTCTACTTGAATATTAACATTTACAAGAAGCTGAGGTGGAGACCTAAATTCAAGCCAAGATTTCAACATGCAAAATGCAAAGGGTTCACGGGAAGGTTTCTGATCCTCTCCATTACAGACGTTTGGAAGTGGATAGAAGTTCTGAAGAATTTTAAAGCCATTCACAATACGAGTTTCCCTTGTGAACAGCCTTAGGTTTCCTCTCTGCCCAGAGGCAGGTGGTCTAACATGGAACATACTACTGACATTTAGATCTGCATCAATAAACCTCCCATTCGGGAGATTTCACATTTTAATCTGAGGGCACTTCTAAACGAAGGTGGCAAAATGTACTTCAATATTTGCTGATTTTAAATTAAAATCAGAGAATGGTTTGATTGCAAAAACTTCACTCCAGGCTGTTTTTAATAACTTTATAATGCATCAGTTAGAACTTCTTATTAATTCTGTTCAATGTGCCAGTAAATCCCTTCGTTTTATTGTAATTTTTGTGAAATATATGGGATATTTACTTACTCTATTTGGGAGTCAGCACATTTCTTTAAAGTTTCTTCTAGTTTGAACAAAAGCACAAAGACTGATGGAAACAAGATTGATGGAGTGTTGGTAAAAGAATTCAAGATTGTTTATAATCCAGCCTTGTGAATTAAATTGGGCCTGAGTCAGCCAGCTGCTTTGATGAGTGAGGACAGGTCCCCTGTAGAAGCACTGTACATGGGTTATATTGCTAGTAAAAAACAATGTAGCTTCTGGGTCTCCTACCACTTTTCAGTGTCAGTGGAGTGTTACATCTTACAAAAGGCAATGAACAGAAAAATGCAACAGGTGCATTATTGCTTGTGTAATTGCTTAATAGTGGTCCAGTACACCCAAGTAAACAAATGAGGAGAAGGTATTTTGCTGGAAGGGAAGCTCCGAGGCTGGGCAGGTGGGGTGTGCCTTCCTGGAATCACCCAATAGACTCAATTAGCACAAGTTAAAAGGAAAAAAAAAATTGAAAGAGTGACACTGTTCAAAATGAATACATCCATCAAGACAAAAATGACCATCAGGGTCTTGGAGCAAGACAAAGGTGTGTCTTTTGCCTTCTAGTCAATCACGTGTACAAAAAGGAGGGCAGACACACAGTTTGTACGTGCAGCATCCAAATACCTTCAGGAATAGCCAGTGCTCAAGCTGTGACTCCCAGGTTAAACTCTTACAGTGTCTGATCTGGGAAGGTGATGGGAAAATCATCTTGTGTGCTTTTTGCCTTAGAGACTGAAGCCTTAACTCAAATCTTATTAAATTCATTAAAACTTATTAAAACACTTACCTCTAAATCTTCTAGTTTCCCTTTAAGACAGTTTCTCCTAAAAGCTGCACTTGAAAGTTACATTGAAGTGGAATGTCACCTTTCTTTAAGTAGAACAATAATTGAACTCCCCATTACATATATATATATATATATACACACACACACATATATATATATATTTCATGGCAATGGAAAGAAACCATACAGAGGTGTTCATTCATATCTGTAGTGAAACCAAGTCTGTGGTGTTCAATGCTTATTGGACTTGACAAAAGAAATAATTTGATTTTGAAGGCAGGAGTCACTTCAGGAAAAATAACAGCTCCTATAGCTGGAGGCCTCCCAGCAAAGTGCTGGTGAGGGTGGGTGGCACTGGAGCCTGCCTTCAGTTCCCAGCCTCTCAAAATTCACCTCTCACTTTTAACATACAGCTTTTGATGGAGCAAAAAGGACCTAAAATAAATGGTTTGCTATAAGGCTTGATAAATGAGTTGTGAAATCAGTTTGTTAAAAGCAGCCATTTTTTTTTTCCAGTTCAAAAAAGGGGTTCTGGCTTATTAGGGTGTATAACAGAGACATTCAAACACTCCTGGCAACTCAAGGGCACACACCCGGCAGCATCCAGCCCTGGGCCCAGCAGCACATGGGAGCACTTACACAGGCAGTGACAACGTGAGGGTAATAGAGCTGAAACTAAAACACCAGCCCTCTGTGCTGATTAAGGGGCAATTTTCTGCATGCAGTAATTGGATTACACATCAAAACCTGCTTAGAGAGAAGAAAAGGGTCTGGGCAGGCTATGAACAATGCTAATGGCAAGACTTTAATTATTAATAATTGTTTGTCAAGTGACACCCTTGCACTCCCACCTGCAGGTGTGAATATTAAGGGCAGTCTCTGAGCTAACACGGAAGGCAGATGAGGGCAGGACTTGGCCAGGAGACTTGGAAGAGATGGCTAGCAATGACCATTGTCCCCTCTGATAGTGATGAAGGCTGTTTTAACACAAGCAGCAACAGAAACAGACAGATCTGCAGGAGGAACTGCAACAGGGGAGAAAGTTACTGAATTTCTGTTTATTGAAACAGGACCAGATTCTTTGCTCTACTTATGAAGGAAAAAGTGACACTGGAAACAGTTAAGAGAAAGGTGACAGGAATGATCAAGGGTGTGGAAGAACTGCAACATCAAAAGAAGCAGAAAAGACTGGGATCATTTACTTTAGGAAAGAGACAAAGCCAAATCTCCTCTGCTGTGATAAAAGAAGGAAAGACAAAGCATGGTCTGGAGAGGGTAGTGCTGGTCTTTCTGCCTCCTTGGATTCAACACACAGGGTTCAAAGAAGGAAAATCAAGCAACCTCCACTCCCCACACAAAAGGTTTCTGATTTAAAACCAATTCTGGGGAACTCATAGGAAGGATGTGGACCTCACCGCTGTAAACAGCTCTGAAGCCAGAAAGCCACTACCTTTCAGTAAGGCACTGAACAGGCTCAACCCCAAAATCCAGAAGACTGAAGTCAACACCTGGCATTCACTTGCAAAGGAACAGAAAACCTCCTACTTCAGTTCTGTAATTCCTAAGGATTGAAGAGAGACCTTCATGACTATCTTTCTATCTCAACAGCATTTCCTGCATCTTTTCCTGGAGCATCAGTGTCTACTACCTACCATTAATCTGTCACTGAGGGGTTTGATTTAGCAGTTTATTCTGTATTTAATGAAAAGAAAAAAACACTCCCAAGGCTCAAATCTCATTTAGAATGAATCACCCTGAGAGGAACCTCCTTCCACAGTCAGGCATGTGAAACTGGACAGGGTTGACAGCCACTGTCAGAATTTTGTCTGGCAGAGCAGGACGGCAAACCCTTGTTCCCGTGTCATCAGTCCTGGGTTACTCTCATTATGCCAAACCTACATGTTCATCTCTTGCATTGAGATTATCAGGCTGCCTTTTGAAGACCTACTGTCTTCTGCTGCTTCCACAGGGATGTTGTACCTTAACCAAAGCAGTTTCATCTTACCCACACTTTACTAGGAGGAGGGTGGTTAGCTCACAGGTACAATGAGCTAAAATCTGGCAACTGCTGAAGTAGATTAGGTAACAGAGGTGCCATTCAGGCTACTGCTTGAATTGGTATATTCCTCATATATATTCCTTTTCTTTCCAGATCTACTGATAAGTCTCTGGTAGACACACATTCATATTTTAAATTGGAAAGACAAGAGATAATTAAAAAATATGTATGACTGATTATTCCATACTGCTTTATATTTTGCTTGAAAATGCTACATTCAAGAATCTTTGTTTTATTTTACCATTTAGTGACTGTGAAATGAACCCACAATTCTTAAATATACGTGTGCAAGTCAAAAAGCCTCGTGCCTAAAACATGCCACAGTTACCCAGCACCTAACTAATCTGTTTATAATTCAGTATAACCAATAGGTAGCTATATTTAAATATGGTAAAAATAATAAGATTGGTTTCTGAGTGAATCATGATACCTGTACCAACAATATTATCTTTAGTATTTTAATAAACTGGTTTCTGAGAGATGCCAACTGCTGACAGATAGATTAATGCAATAAACTTGTAACAGCTCAGAGCAGGTCAATGATCTGAGAACTACTAAGAATATCCTTGAAGCCCCCAGTGACTCTGATACAGTTCACTGAGCAAAGTGTTTTCAGCTGCAGACTAGCAACTGATATTGTCCAACAGATAGTAAAGCCTCCAAAAGCAGTTCTTACAGCCAGCTGGGTACATAACCTATGACCTGAAAGACACCTATGATGCCTGGCAAAGATATGTTTATTGGGGTATTTATACCATCATTTCTTGAAAGGCAAAACTATTTCTCCAGTTTACTTGGGTGAATAATTTAATTTCAGTCTGTAGTCTTCAATCATTCCAAAAGGTTTTATTTGCTCTGGGTATCTTTGTGGTTTTATTTTTTCTGGAGAAAAAATGACAATGTACTCTCTTGTCAACACAAGTTAAAATAATTCCTGTATATGAATTAACTCTTGAAATCTCTTTAGCACTAATGAGATGTGTATGCACACACATCAAAGTAAAACATTTCCTATTTAATACTGAAAAGGAGATCAGATGGATCAAACTCCTGAGGTCCTAGAGAATTAAAGAGAACATACTATTTCTTCTGATGTGTAGAGATTACCATCTACCATCTAGTGATGGCCATTTTTTAGAAAAATTTCTTCTCTCTGAGGTCGTCAAATATCCAATGAAAAGGACTGAGGAGAAGCAGAAATCCATTCGAAAAGCTCTCCAAATTATTCACTGATCATTAGCTGGTTTTATTAGTTAGGCTAGCAGCTTTCTTTTCAGGCCCAAATGCTTGAGTTTAGTAAGTATCTCAATCAGGGCAAATAAGCTACTAGTTGGTAGAAATCGGCAGTACAACATTTTTAATGTATGTGCATAGAACTGAACATGTTTTTCATAAAGAGATTTCTGGAGAGGGCATATATAAATAATAATAATACAATCCAAACTGCTAGCTGGAATCAGAGAAAGGGCTATTAATAGACATGCGGCAGAATAGCAATTTTCTACCTCACTGTATTGTAGTCATAGAAAGTTCTGCTGAATGCATCTGGCTACAAAATCAATTACAATTTATAATAAATTAGGCTTGCTTTCACTCCAAAGGTTGGGTTTGAAGTGTGCCTTTGGGGTTGTGCAGAATTCTTATTTTAATGCATGGGCACTGGAGTGCAGGATTTTGTCTTCAACACTGAAGGGTCATTAATGTGGTCAATCAAATACTGTGTCCAACAGTGCAGGCAAAAGAGCTTAGAGAGATGCACAAGAGCTCTGCTCTGTGAACAGGCTGGGTATCCGCATGCAGTACAGGCTACGCAGCCTGAGCCAGCTGCACAAACAATTTACAAACTCAAACATATTCTATCTATTTTAGAGGGTTTTAGTACCCTTTGACAGTGGTTGGATCTGGATCTGGATTAAAGTAGTGCGAGCCCTTAGTTGTGGATGCTTATCTGTTTTGGGCATCCTAGTTTTTTGGCAAGGGATGTCTTAAGGCAGTGGCCCCAATCTGAAGCTGATGTATAACAAATCTCAGTTACATTTGGATGTCAGAGATGTATGAGCAGGGGATTTTATAGGCACAAAAGTGAGGGTGTAACCTCCAAATCATGTGTAAGCAAAGATTTAGGCATGAAAAACAGTGGTCAAGATTTTAAGGACTGATTTGGAAATGATATGATTTCATTTATATTTTGAGGAATATAAGCTTTTTTCAGTTTCCTGGAAGTTGAAGTGGGCAGTTTGTTTTCATTATTCCAGTTACTGACATGACTAATATTTACACACACTTCCAGGAAACAGTATCACAATCTTATCAGAAAAAAACAAGAGAATAAAAAGGAAGTAAATTTTGAATTTACATTTCAAGCTGACTTTTGTGATTTTTTTCTTTCTTTTTTAGAAAAATCTCACACCTGCATTGGACAGGTAAGGTCAAATGATATTATGGAAGAGTTAAATAATTTTAAGTGAGATGAACATCAAAGTCCTGTGCTTTGGATAGTTTCCATTGCAAAGAAGTAGAAAGATTCATCACTTTTGTGAGATAATTAGATTACTTGAGTTAATGAGAATGGATTTGCTGAGATTTAAAGCAAAAATTCCAAGATTACAGACAAGGGATATACAGTATAAACTGAATGCAAACCCAGCAACAAAAGTGTGTTTCTAATTTACGTTTTTGTTTGGTTTGTTTTTTTGTTTTTAAATCTGCCACAACACTGAAACATCAAGGTGATGATGCATTTGTTCTGTTACGGTCCTCTGTGTATAAATTTTCTCCTCCAGCTGCATACTTCTGTGGTGACAAATGCATTTGTGAACCCACAGAAATCATCTGGATCAGAAAGGCTGGGCAGAAAGAAATCTGATGTGAGATTTTGTGCTTTCAGAGAAAAAAATGTGTCTATCTCCCTATCGATTTTCACTTGTGGCTATATTATTCCTCATTATTTTTACCTTCTCATTGGCAATTTACCTGGAACAGTTTAGCAAAACCCGGAGAAGTGCAACCTAGCTATGTCACAGAAAAGTGTGCGCACAAGTACACATATCCACAACCACACAAAGCAGGTTTTGTTACTGCCCTTCTTCCCCCTCACTTCTTTTCTAGTAGAACATTTAATTTGAAATGGAGATGCGTGTGATAATTAGCTCCTTGCTGCACAGCCATGGGGGTTTCTTCCCTCGGGGCTGGCAGCAATTTTTAGAGGAACATTGTGGGAGTGCATGGCTCTTGCACAGCTAATCAGAGGAGAGGAGGAGGTATGTCCTCTGCCCCTAGAAAGAACCGTTGCAAAGAAGGAATTAATTTGCCCCATTCTCTGACAAATTATAGCGCCTCTCCATCTGGTTCCTTCATGAAAGAAATCACAGGCCTTCCTTTGATTCCCATTTAGATATGAATGTCTTATCGCTCAGCATACATCCTCTCTCCTCACCTTTCTGCTTTCAGCCCCCCTCTGCCTGCTCTTCTGCTACCTCCTGACAGTCAGGTTTTAATCCACATCAGTTCAGCTCCTCCTCATGCTCCCCTTGCACTCTACCTGAATACGTTTACCATCCCTGCTCTCTCCCCTCTAATTTCCACTCTCCTTTTCACTTTTAGCAGAATTTTGGCTTTTTTATCCAACTCTAACAAACCCAGTATAGTTGGAAGCATCATTAGCAACACTGACAGAGTCCTGGCAGTGGAAGCGTGTCCTCCCTGTTACTTACCCCATTTTAAACCTTACTGATGAAAAGCTGTTTAATATGCAATAGTACCAATACTGTAGCAGGGAGAAGGAACTAAAAAGATTCAGAGATTTTTCCTCTATAGAGTGTGTATTCTTGTCCTCTGTGTTCATTGTGACTTCCTTTCTTAGGCTTTATAAATTGCTGGACACCTCTCTTCCCTATCTGTAGCTAGTCCTCTTTCACATCAGCTTGTTCTCCCTCATTCTGTGCCTATAATGAGCTCCTTGCTGCTACAACTCCCTATTCTACCCAAGTTTACTTCTTCATCAAAACTTTCATGCTTTTGTTAAAGAAGTATGACTTCCTCCATCAGTCTCTCAGCTATTACATAATTTACCTGAACAACAGATTTAATATTATTTTGGAACTTATTTGGAAAATGACAGTGAATACACGATACTGATACCCTGAAGACAGGTTCCTCCTGCAACATAGCCAGGATGGGAAAAATAACTGTTTCTTCTGATTTTTTTTTTTTTTTTTTTTTTTCTGTGGCTAAAAACAGGAAACAAGAAGGGATTCAGAAATGGCACAAAAATTTAGAAATTACCTTTTCTTTCTGAATTCTACAAGGTAAAACACCACTAAGAATGGTTTCATCACAGTAAAGCAAGAATTGCTTTTACATTAAAAGGCAATGTTAAAATGTACATTTAAAAATCTGGTAAATCAGGCATAAGGCTATGTAAATAAACGGTAAGTTGTCATCATCTTAAAGTTTAGACTATACAAAAATCTATGCTTGACTGTCTTTGACACAATCAGTTTACATCGGTTTAACAAACCATTAATATAAAAACATCCTAGGAAGGAATCTTGCTTCCAGGGTGGTATTATTAAAGTAGTTCCAACTTTTGCTTTGCTGACACTGAGCCAGGCTGCATCCCACTGCTCAGGCTTTATGATCCATTACCAAATGCCTCTTTATAAAGTAAAAAACCCAACAAACCAAACCACAAACCCCCACAAACAAACAAAAAAACCCACTGGTTTTTACAGACAAGATCACTGATATAAGGTTTTGTTCAGTGCTCACGAATTTGTTCAGAAAATTATGACCTGATTTTAAAAAGTTCTCCTGCTATAGAGATGCTAAATATATATATATATATATTATTTTCTTCCCAGCTCTCTTCCTACTGTATTCTAACTCTCCTGATTCAGGTGGGCTGGAGAACACAGTAATTGGAAAAGAAATCTGTTAAAAAATAAGCACAAGAGGAGGCCCACCCCCACTCTCTCTGAAGTCAGTAGAAATATTTCCATTAACTTCTGCAATCCCTGCATCCAGCTACTGTAAAAACAGTTCAAGATTTCAAATAGAATAATCCCAATTTTCCTTGCACTGAATGTCAACCACTGTATTCAAACATGATTCTACTGTGCCTGTTCTCCAGTTTACAGTCTGGTGCATGTCCAGTTCTTCTCATATTTGCTCTGACTTTGGTTGTAAACAATAAGAATCTGATTTAAAAAATAATTCAGTAATCATTGCTGAAATATGGTAGAAACAAAAACATTGCAGGATTATCCTTCAACAGTGGCTGAGTGGATGGTGGATGTTAGTTTGACCACAGATATGCATTTTTATATATATGTACATACATACACATACAGAATCTCTATATACACATTATAAATATCGTAATAAAATATTGTAAAAATATTAGTTTTGCTCAAATACCTGATTAAAGCGGACTAATCTTATGTTGCATTTATGTGACCTGTCCAGCTTGTTAGAAGCACTAAAATCTACAATACTTGCAATTGTTAAAAACAGTCTATGTCTGACAGTCACCTCATGCCATGACAAGAAGTTAGGTTGGAGGTGGGCCCTCGTATCTCAGCATCAGGTGGAAGGATGAAGCGAAGTTGTTGGCCAGCGTGCAGCTGTGGGTCTCCTCTACCAGGGGCAGGAGGAAGGCCAGGAGCAGGAGGAGCAAGAGGAGTAGTTGGAATGGTAGTGCTGCCCAGCACACTCGATGAAGGAATGAGCACACGCCTCCAGAGCGCTTCTGAAAGACACAAACCAAAGAGAAACTCAGAAAAATAAAGACCTGTGGAGGTGCATTTCAAATACATCAAACTGCCAGGTAGGGGGGCAGAATAACCCATGTTGTCCTTGCTCTAGGATCCAGCCAGGGTGTTTGGTACACTGCAGCTGACTGAAGCCGGTGATTATCTTTTAGGAGAATATTTCACTCTCTTCAAGAATCAGTGCTACAAACTGTTGTCTTCTAGATGGAAAATTCTGCTGACTTTCTAGCAGGAGAAAACAACTGCCTCCAAGCCCATTTTCCAATTACATAGTGGTGCTCACACCAAAGCTGCTGACTGGTCTCCTCACCATCAACATATGGCACAGGTTTGCATTAGTAACTCTTCTGTCAGTAAAATGAGAGTGCTGATGCCTGGAAGAGAGGAGCCAGCCTTCTGCACTCTGTCAGCAGAATGGAGCTTTGTTTGCAGCTCACCCAGCTCATAGTCGCCTCTGCAGCCGCAATGTGTTCTTTGGATCCTGACTCTGGGGTGCAAGAGATTTAAGGTCAGAAAAAAGGCCCTGCAGTGCAGCCTGCCTCATTACCTCTTACACCTTACCAGGCCCATCCTAAACTTTTATGTGATTCAAGAGAATGAGAGAAAACACAACACTGACAGTGAAGAAGACATTAAAGTCACATTTATTGCTGAGCAGCCATGGAAGGGACACACAAAGAAGACCTATTACGCTTTTCTTTATGCTAGTGCAAATCTAGAGTCGCTCATTTAACCTCATGACTCTAATCTGGATTAGCATGACCAGGAGAGAACATATTTGGGGCTACAGAATTCAGAAAAGATTAATTAAGAAGTGAGTTTTCCACTGGCAAGATTCCTGGATATCTCCTGCCAATGAGCTGAACTGTACATGTTTCACAAAAAAAAGGCCAAGTCAACTATGTGTAGTGGAGTCCTTAAAATGAAGGCTCAATATTCCATTAAATTCATCAAACATGGATTTATACTCAGAACACAGAAATAACGCTTAATGCTGCTACATTAGGTACCAACCTACATCACAAATATCAACACAGAACATCCACTGAACACCCACATTTTTTACAAAAGGAAGTTAACTTGTTTCGTTCAGGCCACAGGCAATGTCAATGCTGCAGCAAAATTAGGGCTTCTGGCCTCTACTGGATGCTTGATTTAACAGGCAATGCCTTTGTCCCACTACAGCACCACCATGAGTAGTCCGTGGGAAACATCAGCAGAGAAGATAAGGAGCAGAATGATAGTAGAGGAAAGTAATTACACCCTTCTCTATTTTTTAAGGATCTCCTCCACTGCTTTCTAAGTTTCTCAGCCTCTTGTAGCTCTATATAAATGCTTACAGAATTAATTATGAAGGCAAATATGTAGCTGCAGTTACAGATCATGAGACAGTTGTGCTATGGAATCCTTCTTCTGTTGTAGTTGGTTTGCTTCCATTATAATGAATGGCCAATGAGATTGAATTACTGTCAGCAGATGTAAAGGCAGCAGAGCAACAGCTGGCCTGCAGTATATCAGTTATAAATTGCTCGCTGAGGCCAGTGAAAATTCAGGTAGGTCCCTGGACACTGGAACTGTCAGTGATTAGTGGGCAATGAGTACATGTCAAGGTGTAAGTGGGACTCTGACTTTAAGCACCACTGGGCAACTTCCCTGGGTATCCGCAAAACCAAAGGTTCACCAACCTGGCTGTGCCACAGGAGTCGTCTGCTCCTGCTGTGACCTGTTCTCTTAACACCAGCCAAAGTACCAAGCATAAGTAGCTGTACTAATGGGACTTTCCCCTTCGCTAGTCCTGGAGTCCTGACCTGAAATCCTTCCTTTCCCCTGGATTTTATCAGCCTATGGGCTGAACAAAACCTGCAGGACTTCTGTGTTTATTGTCAATACTAAAACTGTTATGCATAAAGGCAGCAGGCACAACTCTTGGTCAGAGCTTTCTCAACTTATCTCTGTAATGCCATCAAACAGTCACTCCTTGGTATAATCAGTATAAACCAATGGACTGTCACTGACACCTTCTGTTTTCATTGACCGCTTCTTAATTCTCCACTGCATCCATAACATGCAGAAATATGACAAATACATTTATTATTGTGTCCCATGTATAAGGAAAAATGCCCTTTCCAGGTGAAGCCATGACAAGTTTGTATGTGTTAACAGATGTAGTTCTGTTCGTGGAAGATCAGATAGAATTACCTTTGCCTTGGGACAATCCACTAAGACATAGTAAGACTTAATGCTGCTGTTGTTAATGGGTGAGATCTTGTGACTGACTGTTCAGTAGTCCATTATATCTGGAAGTCTCATAAACTCCACCCCTCACTGACACAGTTGGGAGAAGGACTGCCGGTGTTCCTAGCAGCACCTAAAACTTTTGCTTTACAGCTGTCAATCCTTTAGCACTGTTTCTGAAAGCTACTTCAATCTAAAACTATTCTTTCATTGCCAGACCAGCTGCAACACCGGTCTTCCCAGTTATCTCCTTCTGCCTATGAACTGGTGGGAAATAGCTTTTCCAGTTGTGCCTCATCTCTGTTCCAGCCACAGCCCAGGGAGCAGGTGTCTTATGGTCACTCAGGTTTGTTGTTGCCTTCCTTCCTATGATGACCCCACTGCCAATTAGCCACTCATACTGTTCCTACCCCAATTCTTTTACCAATCCAGCATTTGATTTAGAGCAAGTCACTGACTTTGCCCTGATTGCTAAAGCAAAGGCTATTAATGCAACTCTAAGAAATGGGATGAGGTTGAAACGTTATTTATTAAAAGTGCCTTGTTTTTAGATCTACTGGAAGGAGCTTTAAAATAGTATTGCTTTTCAAAGCTCATCCTCCAGAAAGAATTAATGTGAAATGGCTTTATTAACACTATCGTTTGCTCTCCTTGGAGCTTTCTGCAGGGTAAGATACTCAGGCTAATCACAGCAGACCGTAACAATAGAAAAAAATCTGTGGAGGGACATTTGCCTGGGGGCAGAACTTCAGAGAAGGAGAAGTATTTTTCCTTTATCTGTCGCTTCTCTCCCACCTGCTTGCTGGGTTTATAGGCATTTGTGTTTGATGAACTTTTGCCTTTGCTGCTCAGCTTCTCTGTTTTGTTTGATCACACAGCAAGGTCAGAATCTTGCATTTCTGACTCCATTTGTTGCCATGGGAATGACTCTGCTGTCACAAACATGGTATTATGATGTCTCTGCAGGACTGAAGAGGAGGCACACAGGAGCTCTAAGGGTTTGGTGCTTTCAGTAAATTTGCAATGATAAGCCCTTAATATACAAGGGCCCCAACCTGCACACACTGAAATCCATGGGAGATTTACCATTAACTTCAGTGTCTGCAGCAGGATTACGCACAGAGACAACTAAATAAAGTCAGGATTGCAAACTACTTATTCACAAAGTTCAGCAGATACCCTTACAAATGGATTCATTACTTACATGCCCAGCTTCTTGTATACATGAAACCTACGTTAGTTCTGTGGCTTTGTGCTTGCTGGAGCAATTGGTGATATGATTTTTTTTTGGGGGTGGTGGTAGTACTACTAGACATGTTATAGTTAAAGGATAGAAGATTTCGAAGGAGACACAGTTAATTTTTAATAGGAGAGATGGTACAGTTGGAAAAAGCAGGCAAGGTTTTCGGCAGTGACTCCTTCTCTGGGTGTGAAAAAAGCAGCAATTCAATTTTACTAAGACTAAATCAAGGCATTTTTATGGCTCATGTGCTGTGAGAGAGATGCTTTCAGGCTGTGATGGCCTGAGACTATGGCACCAATAGGGAATTCAGGAGGATGAGGTTCAAACCTCTGCTCTGCTGGGCTTGGAGTGATCAGGGCTGTACAAGTCTACTTGGAGTCAGAACCACACTTCAAACCTTTTAGTACATCATTCTGGGTTAGAAAAGGACAGTCTGACACAGTCTCACCTTTGCAAAAGAGAGTTTGAACATTTAATTTCCATATGAGATCAAAGGTGGGAACCACAAGCCTTGCTACACACTGGAATTCCCCTTCCCCAATCACTCCAGCTACTGGCATCAGTACAGCTACTACCCAGCACCCACGGTGCCTGCAGTGTGTGTGTCAGATCTAGGCTCCACAAAATATTCTGAAATCAAATCTTCCTCTGAGGAAAACTGGCAAAGCTCCAGTGAAGTCAACAGAACTTTAATTTCCACCATCTTAGAATAACAGCTGGAATACCTGGGTATTGAGCCAAAGTGTCAGAGACATTTTTGAAACACACATGGAAAAGGAATAGGTTGACATTTAAAAAGAAAATATACTTTTAAAGTTCACCATCAAGGATAAATGTCCTCCCCCTTCTCCTTCAAAATACCAGGACAAGCAAGGACTGTCAAGGGGTAGACGGCTGTGTTTTGTGTAATGCTAAATGCATGCTTGTTACCAAATGAACTGCACTGGCTGTGAACATTCACATTTGTACTTGATTCATGTTGGGGCGTTTGAATGACAAGCATTGGTTTAGATCTAGGGAGTCCTCAGCACTTAAATCTGTTTGCAGTTAATAACTCCTTACCAAATGCACCGTGAAAAATCACTTGGATGGGAAACAGCAGAAAAACACTTTAGAACTTGCTACATAATATTCCTGTGTAAGCTGCTGAAGTGTTTTACTAAAAATCAGTGCACTCCCTGGTTTGCTATTGACCACATTCCAGGATATATGAAAACACACAGTTAATCTTGCTATTTGAGGGAGCAGAGGAATATAACATCTTATGCCATGCTCATTAGTGCGTTTTTGCTGCTGCTTGTATGTCACCAGTATGCCTGACAAAAATCATACCTGCACCACTGAATCAGTGATCCATCAGAGAAAGAAATTCAGTCTGAACTCATTCCTCTTACCATAGAGCATTTCACTGAGAGACTATCCTGGGAAACGCACTGCTGTCTGAAAACTCCTGCTCTCTCCATGGATAAAGGGCCCAATGCCAGAGTGTCTGACAGACAC